TGTGCATGCCATCCTAGGTTTTCACTTCCAAGACTAGTGTCATTAGGTTTGACTTCTCCAAAATCCCATATGTTACTGCAGCTTTGGACACTGTGCTTCTGTTCTGACATTGTATCAAAGGAAAGCTCCTTCCGTCTTCAGTCCACTTTTTTTTTTTTCTCCTCACATGTAAAGGAATTTAAATAAATTTATAGTGTTCCATTTAACTTTGTATTGCTAGTCAGAAGGAGACTTGACATGTTACCAAATTTGACTTTATTCTTATTATGAGCTAAATTGTGAGTAAAATTCATGCCACATGGTAAGGTCACTTCAGTTTCTTTCTGACTTCTGCTTTGTAATGCAGCATCAGTCAGATATGCTGATAAATCCTGGTAATTATTAATTTTTTTTTAGTTCTGCATGATGACACAATATTCAATGTTTTGCACACCTTCACTTAAAGAAAAAACTTCTTGTCCTTATGCTAGTCAGACACATAAATGTTCGATTTATGGCTGCAGGAAATTTCTTTTCCGGTAGTAGTAATTGACTGATCATATTCAATACAATAAAATAGTACATTTTATTTTAGTCTGCACTGAAGGAATAAATGTACATGAAATCATGGCATCTTGGATGTGTCAGTGTTTTATGCAAGACTTAGATGATTTTTTTTTTTAACCCCTCCCCCCCTTGCTCAAATATGTGCTTGAGAAGAATTGACATCAAAAAGGAGCGACTGCAGGCGATTCTTCATTTTATTCAAGCTTTGACTTTCCTGGTTTTATGTATATAAAAATGTTGAAGTGTTTCTAATTCAAGACATGTACTTAGCACCGTTTAGTCATTGTAATAGTGAAATTGGTGTATCAGTTTAAAGCTGCTCATATTGACATAGCAATGTCCGTGAATGGAAAGAAGGGAGTAAATATTAATACAACTGTAAGGTATCTTTTTTTCTCAGTATAACCCCGTCCACAGCTGTGCTGGAGTTGACAGGAGTTGATGGAGCCTCTATGGAGAATACCAAAGTGCCTCTCGGTGCCTGACTGTAAGGGAGGCTGTTTCCTTGCTGCTCTCTGTCTTTCGGGGACTCCCCTGGGGCTGTGCTTTCACAGCCTGTGCGAACTGGTGGAGATTCACACCTGTGCCAAAAGTGGCCCAGCCCCGTCCCACGTGCCAGCGCGTCTCTTGGTGCCACCAGTATGCTGATAATTGATTACCGAGCTGAATTTGACCATTTTCACGTCCCTCAGTTTCTTCCCTTCTCCTGGGTTACTTTGCATCCAGATCCACCTTCCAGCCTGGCTCAGTGCACCGCTGCATGGACGCTTGTCCTGGCATGGAGAAGGAGATGGTCATATAGCTGGTTTGTCAGGATGGAGAGGCTGGCAGGTTAGAGGGCTTGGGTATGGCTAAATGTATTTACTCTAATGGTTCTTGCACCTATTTTATTGCCACATCTGATATAATCTACTAAAATAGAATTTTGCTTCAGACAGTAATTGCAGTATCAACATTTCAGGAATAATACAGTGGTAAGGAAAAGTACTTCTATCTGTAGATAGATAGTAGATAGATTGTAGATATGCTGTATTTTAAAGGCAGTGTCCAGACTATCTGTTCCTTGCAGTCTGAGGAACCAGTTTTGAGCTGGGGGGTGAGGGGAGGAGTGAAGGGGAAAAGGAAGAAGAGAGTTTCATGTCCTAAAATACTCCTGATGGGGGAAAATAAAAAATACATCTTCTAATGTGTAAATACAGTGTGTTTAGTCCAAAGAGGGAAAATCTCTGGTTTGAAGGGTGTTTCTGGCTTACTGAGGGTAGTCTCTTCAGTCAATAGAGAGAAAAAATAGCTACCTGTAGAGGGTAGTTCAGAGCAGGAACCTAATTTAGCCACTCCAGGTTCCTGTGTGAGGGAGCCTGTGTCTGTCCGTTGACCACCCAGTGAGTCTAAGACGATTAACCTCCCTAGGCTAATGCTGGCCTCTGTAAATACACCCTAGCTTTCAAAACGGCATGCTGGATGACTGATCTGCCCTGCTGGTAGTAAATTAGTGTTAGGGTGAGTATCATCTGCTTCTTCCAGCCAGTGCAGAAATAATGCCAGTAGGAAGAAGGGGGTTTAATCTTTCAGGTGAATACTTGAATAAAGAATCTGTTATTTAAAAGTGTAATACCTAGTTTTGTCAAGCTGCTGCCTTTTGATTAGTAAAGGCATTTTTGTTAGACTGGTGGATAATCATTTTATTCGGTATTTCTCTTTTTCCTTTTTTATTTTGTATTTTTCTGCAGTGCACTAAGGAGATTAACCTGAGAGGTGTTTTCTCAGTCTGCCAGCCGAGTCTCCTTCTGACTAGCAATACAAAGTTAAATGCTACTGATGGGATTCTTTTTTTTTTTTAATTCCCTCAATCCATTTTGCTGCTAGCTTGCATGCTATCTAAACTCAGACTCCTCCTGCATGCGTTGTCTGTATGAAACGTGCTAGAAGCTAGTCTTAATTAAGTGTGCCCAGCATTTGTAGGCTACCAGAGGTTCACTTGAACTTTTTTTAGAGCACTTAGTGCACTGAAGGCATCAAACTGCAATTAAAACAACTTCTGTGGGCATCTGTGAGTTGTTAAGGTTACATGCTGTTCGTGGCATCTCCTGAGTAGGAGCTAGTTATGCTGGGAGGCTTAATGTGAAGAAAATTTCAATGTGTGATTTTTCCCTCCGTGTGTGCTTGGTTGACTATGGGAAGGTGGAGGAGGAGGGGTAGGAAAGGGCACTAGAAACACTTTCACAATTAGCTCTCCCTACCCTCCAGACTTGACAGAGTTGGTTTTTGTACAGCTGTAAGGATTTCCAACAAAAATTCTCTTTAGAGTGTAAAACTTCCTGCTTGTCTCCCCAAGACACAGAGCCTCCAATGACATGGCTTAGTGAGAATGTTTTATTGGTCTCTCTGAGAGGATGTAGATTTGCTGGTATGTATCTGTCTGGGGTCGCCTGGCCAGAAGTGTGTGGAGATATACAGGAAACAGAAATCTTCGACTTGCGGCAGATGTCGTGGACAGCAGCCTCTGCATGAAAAGCAAGTCTGTCACATCCCAAATACAGCCTGCCCCTGTGCTTTGTAATTTATCTGGAAACCCCAGACCAAGACCATGAATCCTTAAATGCCCCATAGACAAAATTTCTGTACCCGGAAAGGTGCTGTGTGTGGGAAAATGCAGGAAAATGGTAGTCCTTAAATGAATAAAATGTACCCAAGATGAATCAAATGTAAGCAGCTTAAGGTCTCATTAAACTGTCAGGTTTGGGGGGTTTTTTTGGGGTGTGTTTTGTTTTGTGGTTTTTTTTTTTAAAGTTCATTTGATTACAGCTTTTAAAAAGCGTTGGGGTTTTTAGTATTTATTTTACATCATTCAATTAATAAAAAAAGTTGAAGCTGTGATAAATGCCATTGTGTATTGTAGGTTTTGGTATATAATTTACATATACTGTACAGTGTACTTTGTTCTGCATGATAACTTTCAAAGAAACAATCAGAAAAAGAGAGATGTTTCCTTTATAAATTAATATTTTCCTGTAGCTAATCATGGTATTTGAAGATATGGTACAGAAATAAAACAAATCGTATTGTTTGAATATTTCTGTTCTTGGGATGGTTTATCTCTGTGTTTAGTGAACAGAATTTTTATAAAATGAGTCTTTACATTTGTTTTTCATGGTGGAGACTTAGCAGGTAAGATTCCCACTTAAATCAATAAAACTTCATTCTCTGTTTTCATTTAGAAAGTCGTTGGTGCAAAACACTGGTGTTTTTGTGGTTTTGTTCTAGTTGTTTTCCAACATTAAAGATGGTGAAGGCTTACAGTTGTTTGAGCAAGGTCATCGCACTGCACACAAGCAAGAGTGTCACACCATGGAGGCAGTGAGGCTGGTGGAGTTCAACCTGAAGCAAGTGCTCACAAAGCTCATGGCTCACATCTTTGGTGATGGTAGGTTCTTGCACCTTTTTTCCTGGACTGCTCATGGCTGTAGGCATCCAGACTATTGAGAAACATTTTGCTGCATAATAGAAACAGGAGGCTTAGGAGTGATGGTGACAGCTGGTATACTGAAGCAGCCATGTAGGTTTTTTTTTTTCCTAATGAGAGATATAGTAATTTTAGGAGTCTTCATTCATATTCTTTACTATTACATTTTTGTCTTAAATTTGGTCGGAGTTCCATCCCAGTGTCTTTTAATGTCAGAGTAACTGGCTACTGATTGACCTTTCAACTCTAATCTGTGTTTTATATGCTACTGTTCTTCAATACTATTATATCCACACCTTATAAATTTACGGAGCACAGCCCAAGAGGCCACATGCTCTTCTCTTGGTTTTCCTAAATGCTGACACACACAACACTGTGTTGAATCATCAGGTTTTTGTGAAGAGGTTTTGGTATGCAGCGTGTCAGGGTAACATAGTGGGCATGAATACAGGTAGGGACATGCGCCAGACCCAACTACAGGCGTTCATCTGGCAGAAGCCGTGTGTTAAGAGTGGATGCAGTGTACCTGTCGGTGTGGGTCCTGCAAGGAGAGACTGCTCCAGCTCCAGCGCAAAGCTGTGTGGGACCCCCTCTGCTTTGTACTCTTGGGCATCCCGTGTCCCTGGAGGGACAGACCATGGCTGCGGCATCGCACCTGGGGCTGCATCAGAGCTGGGCGCCACTGGGGAGCATGCAGGGCAACGGTCACATCTCGCACCGGCAGCGTGGAGCTTGACAGGAGAAGGGGGTATGTATGTTCATGTGCTGCTTTGCTGCATACACACCCAAAGTACCATGAGTGTTTTCCTTGTGCAAATAAATTAAACCTTGCAGCTGAGGGGAGATGGTGTTTGCTAAGTTTGCACCAAGCTGAAAAATAATTGTTGTTTGGTACTTAGAGTGGAATGAGGAAGGGTAACGAATGTCTGTGTATATGAATGAAATATCCTCTCCTCAGAAATACCTGCTTTTGGTTTCGGGAGTTGAATTTATAAATGGCTTGAGTTAAAATTGCCACATTAATGCTATTTCCTGGCAAGGAGGCTTCTCTTCTGAACTGATTCATTTTTCTGTTGAGGAAATACTGGATAGTATTAGAATGCACAGCGTATGCTGGCTACTTTCAAAGCTCTTTTAAGATGCCCACTGAATTTAAAGCAGTAGTTCCATGAGTAGATTTATAATGGTAGCAAGTCCTATATATGACTGCTTGAATATTTGTCTGAAATTCTCAAGTTCAATTTACAGCAAGCAAACCTTTTACCAGTTTTTGTTCTATCCCACCTGGACAAAATTTTAAGTTCCTGAGTTCGGTTTTTCTTGTGGTTGTATTTTACTTAACAGCAGCCTTTTGAAACATACAAAATTAGGATCAAAGTGAGTAATAGTAAGAATGATATTTTTTGATCAACCTCAGTTGCTGAGGATGTTGTTAAAAGTGAGCAATTTCTAGGAGTTATTAGTGATATCTGAGACTGCAGTGGCATCCTTCTCTAACTGTTGACAGATGCTGCACTTTAAGCTTCAGTATGTTGGCTATTACTAGTTCTTCTACAGCCTGCACAGTAGCTAGAAAAACATTAAAAAAAAATTCTTAAATGATTGTAACTGTACAGACTGAAAGTAGCTTCTGCCCTCTTACTGTAGTGATTTTCTATTTCTATGCCCCCAATATTTTTCCTGAAATACAAAGACAAGATATAGTGATTTAAATATAATTATCTCTTTTTTCTATTTTTTTTTTTTTTTTTTTTTTTTTTCTTTT